CTTGGCCCTTGGGTCCAACACGAAAACTACTCTGGCCCGAGCGTGGAAAGAAGTTGGACCACCCTGCTTTAGACTTTAATTCGAGAAGTGCGTGCTTTGAATATCGACAGGTTTCTGACTCTACAGGCGTTGGAATACGCATGGCGTCTTAATTCTGATGATTATTCTTACAATAGAAAGATTTTGGATAAGTGAGGTTAGAATTAATTAGAAGACAGTCATCTTCAGACCTAATGCCGGGAAAAAAACCCTCAAATCTCACAAGAATTAATTAATCACGCCTCACACAAAGACATTCTTTGTGAACCGATCGATTTCTCGGACTGCCTTAATGCCATACCCTCGTTCTGCTGCCACATTATACAGAATGATCTGCCTTCTATTACTCAGGATAACAGCTTTGACATCGACAGCAAAGATGAAAATTTTATTTATATACAATTGTGATTAGACGGAAAAAAAACACGAATAATCAAATTTAACTATTACAATTTATATTTCTGCATACGCGATTGTAATTTGTCATTTCTGAATAAGTATTATTAAAGATAACGAAAATGCAAAAATAAGACAGTAGAGGTTTCTTGGTCCTTGGGTCCAACAGGGAAACTATTCTGGCCCGAACGAGGAAAAAAGTTGGATCTCCCGGTTCTAGCTGCATAATACCAACTGGGTTCTCCTGACAAAAATAGTTTGTTTCAAAAATATTAAAATTGTCCTTTTATAATCCTTCGCGTCTAAAAGTCTTGTAATTACGATGGACACAATTTTATTTTATATCAAAACGTTAGTTCATTACTTTGACGAGAAGCAGCGTCATAGGGCCCATTGTGCACGTGACTTTTCCTCGGGTTGCATACTGAGCAAGGCGCTGTACGCTAGAATAATTTTCACATAGAAACTCATTTAGCTACGTTCCTCTGTCTTTACTTTCGCCATTTTTTGCATTAATAAAACAAAGTTATGGTAAGCACGGAGATTATAAAGAAGCCGTTATTCTAGCAATTTATTAAACTAGATTTTTATAAGCTTTGCATCTAGTGTGGAAACTTCTAGCAAAAAGTTTTTCTTACTTCATGTCCTCAATTAAAGTTGTTTGCACGTTCCTGTGCGTCTGTGGTTTAATTCATTCTGCAGTAACGCAGTATATTCAGATTACAGGACAGTTTGAGAAGCTTATTCAGGCCAATATTGTTATAGAAGAATTTCTCCACGATATTGGCCAAACATTAAAGTTTTTGTTCGTACTTTTTCGGTGTATGGACCGTTTTTCTTAGCTGAGAGGATGGTTACTGGATTCTCGTGTGTCCTCGTGCTGGTCCTACACCTTGTACCCAGCTGTAGCAAGACACTGAGGTAGCAGACATCTCGTTGCAACAGAATTGCGCTGTGTCTCATCTTCTCTTCATGCCACATTATCCAACAAGTGGGAGGCGGATGTCGACCTGTTGGGTGGCCACCATGGTCACCGGCCTCACACCAACAGAGATTTAAGTTTGGGGCTTCGTCGAGGACAGTGTTTTCGTTTATCCTCTGCCACAGTCCTTGAGGTAACTGCAAGACCTCCTTATTGGTGTCTGAGTGGGGCCGAGGCTGCGTTCAGATGTGACGTTTGTTGATTCTCTCGTGGAAGACGTATCTAGCACCTGTGAAGAAACATTTGAATGTTGGGCCACTGTTGTGAACCAGATCCTTTTGAAATATGTTACATGAATGTAAATGTATGTGCATTTTACACTATACATTAATTTGTGGTCTTTCCGTATAGCAGTTGTTGATGTTAATAAATAGGTTTACATTTTGTTAATTTTCTTATTTAACTTTAAAAAATCTGATGTTTATATCCGTCTGTCTCTTGGTCAATTGTCATGAGGAACAATTGATGTAGGCTTTAAAACGATCAATAATCGACCATTTTTTATAAACTTTGAAATATTTGAAGCCAAGCTCTTTCATACTTTTTAACGTCCCTACAAGTGTTTAGAAACAGTGTTTTCGGGAATGATGACGTAGGTTACATGTTTGCGAGATTACACGACGAATACTTTGTAGTTGCTTATCTCGCCTATTACTGTTAGTATAGTGACATGTATAGGACTACTATGGACCGGACATGCAGCAAGAAGTGTAGATTTCATTACATGAATTCTTAGAATCAGTGAACAACTTTATACGTGTTTATTTGTTGTTTTACTGTGTTTGTTTATATGTGGACTAAAACACTGTACGTATTAGGACGCTATGTCGGTCGGTCTTTATTTGCAGAAACGTTCAATAATTTTCCAGTCGATGAAGATTATTTCCTCTTATGTCTCATAACGTAGAACGTACGTACGTGCCATGAGTACGTGAAAATCATTTCCTCTGGACTCAGCCAGAGGACTAGTCACACCGTTGCACACTGTCTTCTCCAAATATAGGATGGCTTTCAGGAAAGCAATTATTTCGCATTTAATCCGTAACTCAAAACATGTAAGAGAACTGACCTGTGTGTATACTTATTGCACCACACCTGTTTTCCAGTGAGAAAACTGTTTTTAGTTTCATCCGGCGACTTTTCACGCCTGTAGATGTAGGCAGCCATCCAAACAGTCGGATATTGGTCGGCCATCAGATTGTGTCTGTGGATTAGTTTGTAATCAAATATTATTTGGATCATTGTATCCAGGTAGTTGAGATGGGCGCGGTATATAGAACGCGTTGGTGAGTATATAAATACGTACAAAAAGTTCATCAGAAAGCTTGATGGCAGACCTGCTTGTAGATAGGATAATATTAAATTGGATGTTAAAGATGTGGTATGTGAGGATGTGGACTGTATTTATCTGTCTGAAGAGTGTCCAATAGAGGGCGGTGTGAACAGAGTAATTAACGTTTGGGTACAAAGGAAGTCAAGAAATTTCCCGACTAGTTCTTGAATCTCGCTCCGTGATGTTAGGATACTTGAACGTTAATACGTGCTTCGTCGTATTAGCCTGCTCTGTGTCGCATTGGCTCCTGTTTCTACGTCAGATAAAACGTACAGTGCGCCGCTGCATTGGATGGGCCATCAATGACAGCCCGTTCTACAACCTTTGCACGTCTTTGATTTATAAAGGAGCCAACAGAAAATAAATAAATTTCCCCCACTGAATTTTCTTGTGATTGCTTTCCGTCCTATATATATATAAAAGATAAAAACACAAACGGCCCTGGCTTGTATTTTCTCTACCCGTGTTGCATCAGTAAGTATTTCGAACGCTTTTGATAGGGCGACGAAAAACACGTGACTTGTAACAGCGTCCTCATGGTCTTCAACCTTTCTGACGCTGGTGTTGCGGGTTTGAAACCTACCGGGTATGTACATGTACATTGGGTGGTTATAAATTGGCTCGTTCTGAGGGGGAGAAGAATAAGAAGAAGAAAGATAAAACCTTTGAAATTGTATGGTTATGGTGCGTGGAAAGAGAGAGCCCCAAACAAATGGTCAAAATTAGATGAAATTATGGAGACTGAAGAAAAGAATCAGCTGCTAGGGAAAGTTGAAGGCATGTGTGACAACTCGTCTGTTGTGAGCCCTCTTAGTTTCGTCCAGGTCAGCTCAAGTTCCTTCACGGATTCACACTCTCTCAGAAATAAATCTTCCACTGTTCTTGTGTCACCCGAACTTGTGACACTGTCCGCAGTTTAACTGGGACCCTCGCGCGCTCAGAAGAATAAACTGAGGCTCTGGAATTAGCCGAAATCCCCGATTATTCCCGCAGGACAGAAACCATCGCCCGATTCCAAGCTCTACAACCTCACGCACGGGGTACACCGTTGCCGCCTACAGAGACGGGGACGACATTCGGACAGTCCTCGTGCTGACGATACGTCGTTCATCGGGTGAGACTCGTGTTCGTTGCCGTCACCAAAAGATGGTCCGCTCTCTCTCTCTTGCGAACAGCAAAGGAACGGATGATTATCTCGACGTTCCTCCAGAGTTATGGAGCGACTTTCAACCACAGCTCAGAGCGACCCAGCGGGCTCAACAGGCGCCTTCCGCAGGGCACGAAGCAAGGGCGAGGACCTGAGAGGATCACCGGGCCACTAGAGCGCTGTCTGTCATATTTCCAGGATACGATTGGTTTCGTATCACCCTCGGCATGGGACACCATGTTCGAGAATGTCTATCAGCAACCTCTTTATCGCCTGGTGACGACACCGCAGCTGCCTCGGTATTCCGTGGGACAGCGCTGTGCGAAAATACTGCAAGTCTATTGGGATATGTAAATTTTGTATTTGTCGCATTTGTAATATTTCCTTTCTTGATATGGGCTGTGGTCTCTTCCTTGGAAGGGCCACGCCCTTTGTTCTCCAGGTAACTGCGCGTTTCTGCCGCGGAGGCTGTCCTGGGGATAATTGCAGTCATCGCTCTCTCGTGTACTTACACGAAAAATTGTGATGTCTCCAGTGACGATTAATAACTGAGCAGAACCACTTGTGTTAAATAACATTTTCTTTCTTTGGTTGTTTTTTTAGTAAAGAAAGTCACTTATAAAATCTGCAGCTGCTGGCATCGCTGTTGCACGGAAGAAGCTTGAAGTTTTAAGCGAGTTTCTTCATCATCGAGACCAAGAAACTTGCGCCATGCGTTGTAAACATTATCTGACGAATTCGGCATCGGAGAAAGTTTTTATTTCTTAAGCCATCAAACACGATAACCTTTCCCCATAGCAGAGAAAGTATCTTTTATGGCTGAAGCTGTTTTAAGCTACAGCTGTTACTCTTTTCAGGCCAACGATACAGTTTTTGTACTCTGTGCTGTGAACCGTAATGCCTAACAATTTATATCCTTTCAATACATTAATAATTTCATAAAAGAATTGAATACGCAGTTTTCCCATTCGTGGAAAAACAAGAAATATGTCTGTCCACTTGTATTGAAAAATTCTACATTCAGAGTCATCAAAACACTTTTTTAATAAAGACATTGTATAACGTGATTCTGTTTAATTTAGCTGAGTTTTCTTTAATTACAGATAACTGAAAGCAATTAATACGCGAGAACAGTATTACCCACGTGCACGCCAAAGGACTCGTGTAGACTATAAAGAATGATGTTTATGTCCGACAAGGAACTGTCACAGTTCTCTCCAGGAGTAAACGAATGCAAATTCAGCTGAATCAGAAGTGCACATCGGACAAGCATTGGCTTCAATGTAGCGGCTTCAAACTTTACCACAAACATTAAAAATTATTTACGTTACAGGCCAATGTTAAACCACTATCACTTCAAAAAATACCCTCACTCCAATGAATTTGGAAGTAAACATCATCAGAAGTTACACAACAACAGTAATTAAGTTTTAGTTTATAAGATTATAATTTTTAACTTTTAACTTTACACCTGAAGATGGTTCAATGTAACCGAAACATGTAGTAAAAAGATGTACCAAATATGTAAATGATATTTTAATATCTTATGTATAAATTTTATTTATATACAATTGTGATTAGACGGAAAAAAACACGAATAATTAAATTTTAATTCACAATATGACGCAATTATATCAACTAACAAACATGCAATCAATTCTGTAATAAACGCATCGTTGATGTGGACTGACCAATAATCGAAAGGAGAACTCAAATGTCTAAATAATGTCGATTTCGTATTTGTTGTGGCTACAAATAGTGTTAACACTAATTAATGCCTGTTGGAAAAGTTATAAGCAACCTTCCGCTCCATAAATTTGGTGGCACGTTTTCGATATTAATTATCAGAATTTGACTGTCAGACACCCCGTGAGGAAACTGGCCGCTGTCGTCCTAAAACTTTGAAAGTTCTGGTGATGTTGGCATCGCTGTTCAAGAAAATTAATCTGAGTGAAACCACCTCTGATTGTAAGTTACATACTTATGCGTTAATGGGGTGCATGAAGAGATGTCGTGGTCCGCGTCTGGCCCTCTAATCGTAGATTGATCCGCCCTTCTGTAGAAGCTGTAAGCAGCGACAAGTGAATCTTCGCTCATGCCAGTTGGGTTGGACCCCCTTGAGGCTTGTATAAGACTAGGAGAGGTAGGTCCTCGTGGTTAAAGGACGATGCTTTTTCCAACTGCAGCTGCGTTAAACCTCCTCTGCCTGGGTAGCACTTGGTGCGATAAATATGGTAATTTGGAATAAATAACTCTTAATTGTGATTTCGTAATTATTACTGGAATTGTTTAAACTGTTTGTGTTGTGTGTGAGGCCACGCCCGTGAAAGAAAATTTCTCCTGCCACTTCTCGACGCTTTAAATGTGGTTAAGCAATGAATAATGGCGTATAGAAGCAAGGAGTGGTCCGTATTTTTTGCCTTCCTGTTATAAACGCATTTCATATCGTAGGAAAATATCAACTTTAAGAAGAATAAGACCCGCTGAAGTTTGCTGAGAAGTCGTCGAGGATCAGAAAGCTCTCTCGCGTCTCTGCAGAATTTTGGCTCTCTGCCACGGGGGGGTCCGGGGTGGAGTGGGGTGTGGCGAGTGCTTGAGACCCTGTTACGATGCTGCCACGAGGGTAGTTCAGTGGAACTAGGGCGCAGGAGCTCCACCCCAGTCCCACATTCGTCAATCGTGTAAGAGGAGAGAATGAAAAATAACGTATACAGTGCAGCCCCTCACTGCTAATTCATGAGATTTCTTTTGCCGTCTGGTAATCGTAGCTTTGTTAAAGCCACTGAGGTAACTTCTGCTGAGAAAGAGGTACATAGGGCGGAGAGGGTCTCGCATCCAAATATTCTCCAGTTCGATGCCTGATACATGCTTTTTATGAGTGGTATTTCTCTAGTAACCGGTTTCATTTTATTGAACCTCGCTCCTGAGCATTGAGACTCCTTTGTATTCGAACGGCTCCAGGTTTAAATCAAGGTTAACACTGCACGTTTTACAGGGCCTCCCTCCCCTTCCACGAAGTTGCACAATATCACCTCAACAGACCGCAGTCACTTTATCGTTCATTTAAACTATTTATTTTACATCTTATATTGTATGCCAGGCGTATTCCACCTGTTCTGTTGCAAATTAACTCAATAATTGGTCAGTTTTCCATCTGCCTCCATCTTCATGTTCCATGACGACCGTGATTCCTCCTTCGTAACCCTAAAGCGACTGCGCGCGTCTGTGTGAACCGTCTGACTCCTTAACACCACCAAGCACTCCGAGGTCGTCGTATTTCATTACGTTATTCGCGGAATGCTCCCTAGATGGACGGGTGCCTGAGTAAAAGTGAGAGAACACTGAGTATAATAACGAAATAAACGCAAGTTAAACAGGATAACGATTCAATATAACAACATTCATAACTTTGTAAACGGCCTAATCACACAAAACAAAATGCAGGCATTACATACGAGGTGCGATCGAAAGGTTTCCAGACTGCGCGTATAAAAACCCGTACACTTATTTTCATCTTTTGGAAGAGGAAGAAGTCACACGGCGAATAAGGAGGGGGCGGGATGACGGCCATTGTGTTTGAGGCCAAAAACTGCCGAACTTTGAGGGCGGTGTGCGCTGGCGCGTTGTCTTGATGCGTCGCATGTGGAGTTCTTCCTTTAGAATCAGCTGACAGGTCCCAACAATGTCGCACAAGTCGTTGATGGTACGACGTCGATCTTCTTGAATGGCCTGCCGAATCTTCGTAACGTTTTCGGGCGTTGTGCTCGAAGATGGTCGTCCAGAATGCTCGTCATCATCGACAGGGGTTCGGCCATTTTTAAAACGTGAATGCCCCACAAAAGTTTGTGCACGACCCATTGCGGACTCCCCAAATGCTTGCTTTAGCATTTCATAGGTTTCCGTAGCCGTTTTGGCGAGTCTTTGGCAAAATTTGATGCACACGCCATTCCGAAATCGCAGGAGGGTCGGTGTAATGCACTACTAAAACGCCCGTAACTAAGAAACAAATGCTAATTCGATGGTGCCGGCTGGCACACTGATTCACTATGAATGTAGGCCGCACCCCCTAAAGGCAGAAGCTCGAACTACATCCGGTTCGCCCTCTATTAACACAGTCTAGAAACTTTCCGATCGCACCTCGTATTCTTAAGCATTATGACCAGATGAACATGTTACGCTGTATAGAAGCTGAGCTCCCAGATATGCTCCTAGTGAAAGTGGTACCTGGTAGTCACTTCAAGCAGTACACTGGAATCACCAAGGGGCATTAGGAAAGTACGTGCTTGTACAGAATGAGTCAAAAGTATGTTGTGTGATCAAAAATAAAAAAAAAATGTTCCTATGAACATGGGGTGACAAATGTTTCATTTTCGAAATAATGTCCAAAAATGAGCTTCAATTAAGGATGCGACTGTCTATTGACATGGTGGATCGCTGTGGATATATGGGATAATTAGGCGCCGAGGGCAGACATTTGGTGGTGTTTCAGCTTAGGGGTTGGGCACTGGCCAGACAAGCCCACACTGTGATAAGAAAGTGTCCATGACCCGTAAAACTTAAGTCACTGGTTACAGACGTTAACAACAGCAATTTAAGTTAAGCGAGCCTGAGTTTGAATTCAGTATTTATACCAAAACCGTGTCTAAAAGGAAACTTTGATTAACTCTGAAGTTCCTGTGGTTTTGCTGATTTCATTATAAAGTGACGTAAACTCGCCTAGAGTTCTGAGGTCTCAGTGTACCTGCCAGAGCTCGCTAATGCACTTAAAGACTTTCCAGTTATGGGGAGAGCCAGTCAGCGAGCCAAATTGTTCT